CGCCGCAGTGGTCTGGTGGCTAAGGTACTCAAGTGCTGTCCCACAGGTCAAGGGATTAAATCCCGGCTGCGGTGGCTGCATTTTCAATAGAGACAAATTGCGTTAGGCCCGTGAGCTCAGATTTGGGTGCACGTTAATGAACCAAGTGGTGGAAATTTCGGAGTCCTTCACTACGGCGTATCTCATAATCATATGGTGGATTTAGGACGTTAAACCCCACATATCAATCAAATCATCATCGTTGCCATTGCTGCGGCTTCGCCGTTATTCACAGTGAAAGCGCTATTCTTGCGTTCACCAAGTGGTGTCGTTTGCTTGGGTGCAAATTCAGCGGCGATGAAGACGCCAACCACACGCGGCGCACCGCATGACCGGCAAGAGCCAATGCTACGCTTCTAAGATAAGCGTCATGCTCACACATAATAAATGTATGCGTACGCATATATAGCAGCGGAGGACACCTTGCTGTATCTACAGAATCATTTTACAAGGCTCTGACAAGCGAGAGTGGTTTTACGTAGGTCGGACCTCGTAAACTGATGGCGGTGCCTGATGCCGGTAACACGCCGGCGGCATTCCTGATCGCGTCATTGGCTTTCAGATACTGTGACTGATATTTTCGCTGTGATCAGTTTAAGCGATACAGGACCTTTTGCGAGACTTCGCGTAAGTGTAGATAGGGACGTACTCTGTTCCGTATTTGCAGAACCCATTGTTCGTAGTCTTAAGTCTACCTTAAGCTGGCAAATGAGAAGAAAAGTCATATCATATTCATTAGTGAGGCAAAGCCTCAGTTCGTCTCTCCGTCCATCCGTCCATCCACCCATCCATTCGTCCGTCCATCCGTCCATCCGTCCGTCCATCCGTCCATCAAACCGTCTGTCCACCCGTCCGTTCATATGTCTATCTATCTATCTATCTATATCTATCTATCTATCTATCTATCTATCTATCTATCTATCTATCTATCTATCTATCTATCTATCTATCTATCTATCTATCTATCTATCTATCTATCTATCTATCTATCTATCTATCTATCTATCTATCTATCTATCTATCTATCTATCTATCTATCTATCTATCTATCTATCTATCTATCTATCTATCTATCTATCTATCTATCTATCTATCTATCTATCTATCTATCTATCTATCTATCTATCTATCTATCTATCTATCTATCTATGTGTATCTGTCTGTCTGTCTGTCTGTCTGTCTGTCTGTCTGTCTGTCTGTCTGTCTGTCTGTCTGTCTGTCTGTCTGTCTGTCTGTCTGTCTGTCTGTCTGTCTGTCACACTAGCGCTCCTGGCTGAGTGAGTCTTAGAACTAGGCGGTCACGTACCACTATATACAAGGGATGTACAACCCTATGGCTCTAGGAGCTCTACCTCTAAAAACAGAAATGGTCGGTTGCGCGACGATCGAGTACCCTTGATTTATGAGCACAAAGTGAGAATGCCAGCATTTTATGAGAAGTGCTATGATGCCCTGACTTCTATATCTCCTTGAGGGGCGAAATGTTACGGACTGTCTAAAAATGTGTAAAATACGCCAAGTATTACATCCCAGGAACGAAAATCAAGCATTATCGTTTTTTTGCAACTTTCACTAACTAATACTAATGTGATTGAATGCGCCATTATTCTACAATAAGGTCTTACGAGAGCTGCCTAAGTTAGACAGTGTTGCTGGCCATTGTGCGCACGTCCATGTCGCAGGTATAGGCACGCCACGTTTCATGCGCCAAATAAACCAGTCGCAAGTGCCACCCATGTCGTCATTTTCGTGCCTTTTTTGTGCATGCTGTTTTCACTAGTGACAAAGTGTGATGCAGTAAGCGATACCAATAATGTCGAGAAGTAGTTCTCCTCATGAATATTTACTGTAGAGTTCGCCCTTTTGCTGTGCTAACACTTTGGCGGGACTACCGAACTGTGATTTGCTTGTCAGCCATACCGTTGCCGCTTCTTGTCAGACAAGGTATGTTGTCTCAAGGAGGGCCTCGCTCTTCCCCAAGTTACCCCGTGATTTGGATACGTGGCCATTTCGACGCGTCATGCTAAACGTATCTACAACATACTCTGCTCTGAACAGTGTTTAGACGTTCTTTCACTGAATTATTGGCAATAGGTTGTCCTCTACGCAAGGAATTCTCAGTCTCTCAGAAGGTGAGAATAAAAAATTGCCCCCACCTCCCTGAAAGGAATCGTGCGGAAATGCGAATGCAGTGCGTACTGTCTATCGCGGCGTTTAGCATGCGAGAACCTAGTGTTGGAATAATTCTTCTTGTTTTTTTTTTCTTATAAAGTGCAGCCGAAAATGCCGTTTACAGCACGTGGCGTTTTTCTGCCGCAAGAAACGTGGTATGCCTTTCCAGCTCTAGTTGGAAGTGTGCACGGTTAAAAATTACTATGAATTGAACAAAACCAACAGCAATCTCGGCTCGGCCTTGACGTTTCACAGCGGTGTTTCGTCTTCGTAGCTGGCTCAATCGGTCGAATGACCACCCCAGAGAAGCGTTGATCACAGGTTCGATCCACAAAGCAGGACGAATCGTTTGACCAAAGAAGAAGGATTTCTTGCGAGATATCCGCATCGACTTTCTCTTGTTCTCATGCTAAACACAGGTGGTATAAATGATTGTGGTAGCGTTAAAATCAGTCACTCAGTCAGTCAAAAGCGTTATAAGAGGTCCTGAGGAGCTCAAGCCAATAAGGGGTTCACGAGGGCTACCCTCGTAGCTACTTCAAGAAAAAAGCAGCGCAAGTCACGGAAGGTATACCTGTGCTGTATACACTGTAGTCGAACTTATGAAGAAAAATGGATCGCGAGGCATGTCATGAGAAGAGAACCATTGTTTATTTTTCTATTGATATTGAATAATGTTTCACAGAGTTGTTGAAAGTTCTCTGTGATGGCACCTTTTACGTTTGTGGGTTACCACAATATAAAATATTATGATAATTGAACTTATTCGAGCGAAAAGCTTGAGTGGTGAGAGAGGCATTGTGAAACGTGGGCCGATTAAAAAAAAGTCTGTGGGGGTTACTTACCGCAGGAAGTGCAGGAGTGTCTTAATTGTAGAAATGCTAGAATGGCTTTTGTCTTCGCAGAGTGTAGTCGAGCTTGTGATCATAACGACTTACACGAAAAGACACTTTGGTCACTTTGGAAAGACACTTTGAGTCGGACAGCTTGCGAAATGCAAGCGTGGCTACATGCCTGCTGTATTTAAAAGAATGTGATTTCAAAGCTAGCAAGATGTTGCTGAATTTTTTCTGCTGAAACAACAACCCACTATCTCAGTAGAAGATCCCAGAGTGCTATGCTCTACCAGAAGTAGCTTTAGCTTCAGTTTTCATGAAAATACTACTGCTTGGAATATTGAAAAGAAACCTAAGCAAATGTCTACCAAAGTTAGTCTCAGCGGCCCTGCTATAATGTGTTTCATCTCTATTCGTAATCGCTATGAGAATGCTTCTCGGAGTATACAATTTTTTAAAATTAACTGGAGAGAATTTTTGGCGCTGTGATCGTTCAATGACCAAGGAAACGGTGGGTAGTACACGGCTTTGCCTAGTCTTTGTGCTTGCGGGTGGTGATTCACACTTGTGGCTCCGTTTGTTGCTGTGTCTCGGCTTCGGTTTGGAGGAAAGAACAAAAACTCTGGAACTTCGTTACCGGATTCGTAATGCTAAGCCTAGAAGATTTTTTGCAGTGAAGCGGAACCGCTGAACATTTGCCGATTTTTGTTTGTGAAAACAAAATTTTTTATTTTTGTTTGCGAACACAAAAGAAGCCAAAAGTACGAATATCACGCTAATCCGTGTACTACTACTCATAGCCATGCTCGCTGAAGTGCCGTGCGTTGCAGCTTTCATGAACGTTAGCACCAGAGTTCCCTCTAGTGTATATTTTGGAAGCTCAATGACTGGGAGAACCTGTTTTTCTATATAGGAGTAAAAAAAGCGCATTATTCATTGCCAGTGACGTTGAAAATGGGCACACACTGTAGCTCCAACCTAAAAATGAGCTCTGATTATGAAGAATAAGTGGAAAAAGTTAGCGTAATCAGCCAAAGTAAACGCAGGCAAAATTGTTTTTCAAGGGTAGTACATAATGACGCACACTTGTTCTGCGATTTCACAACAACACTTTCACGTGCTGTCTGAAACCATCTTCGAAGTGCGCATATTTGCGCCCCTGATGTCACAGCTATAAGAAGTGAGCCCTCAGCTTTCAATTCCCAGTGACACATTGTGTTAATTTAGCGAAGGACAGCTCTTCAAAAGATAAAGTACAAAGGGCTCCGAAAGAGGCCTCAGTCGGGCTGCCAGAGGGCGGCCTTACCTGTCACGATGCAGCGTCAGCACCCAACGCTAAAAGCCCCGCTGCGCGCCGTTCACCGAGAGAGCACGCACTGCACTCGCCGATTACGTCAACACAGACGAAAGAGAGGTGCGCGAAAGAAAAATAATAAAAGTGAAAGGCAACGCCTTGACCGATTTGCATGTCTCTGTTTTGCCAACTCCCGTTATCTTCCTTGCGACTGCGTAGCCCTTTCTCTAAAGGCACGCCTTTCAATCGGAGCGCGTTTTCTCGTGCTGCACAGAGACAAGCGGACTATCGGGTATTCGCAGGTAAACCCTCAGATACGTCAGTCTGCACTTAGATTGACCATCGATCAGAGGTGCGAAAACACCTGACAATTTCTGCTGCGCCTGCGCGAATAAAAATATGCATGGCCGAAGAGAATGAGGAGAATATATAACTCCCCGTACCTACACACGGTAGAAACTCAGCGGTGTAGCCAGTAGAGGAGGTGGTCATCGGAAAGGGGTAGTCAGCATATTTACCGCGAGGCACCAACGCACTTGCGACCCTGCGTGCCCCTCGTAGAGTTTGGTCGGTGGCGATCACCGAAAAGCACGATCGCCTGAGGCAACCGACACGGAAGCATTTCGTGTAGAGAGGAGGGTTTTCAAGCGGTAGCCTTCATCTCCCCAAGCGAGGGATATAAAAGAGTAGCACCGTTTGCAGCGCAGTAGTCTGAACTGCCTCCTACGGAACACTACGACAATCAGGTAGGTAAACCCAAAATGCTCTGACAATGCTTAACTATAGCCTCTATCACAGTAATCTTAGATAGTTTAGGCAACTTAACTTAATTCTGCTGTATTTGTAATCGTGACTTGTTAGCTTTGTAGCCACTTTGACAACATGCCTTTTTGCATATTGGTCAAGTGTTATGCTTGATATGCACGCTTGACATTTCGCTTACATTTAGTAAACATTGAATAACTTTTTACACGAATAGACTTCTTGTAATTGCCTAGTATAGACAAAGATGTCTACGCTGGGGCTTATGTATATTTTACCAAATTTTTCTGTTATAGTAGCTCTGGCTGCGTTCAGTTACACTTCGTAATCAGTATACGAGATGAAAAACTGAAAAGTTCAATAAATTGTATATTCCTTACGGTTCCAAACTTTCGCAGCAAGAACGCCTTTGCATGAAAGAAAGTGATCTAATTGTCCTGCAAACTTGATCGAAACACCTTAAAATGCATTTTCGATAGTACGTGGTCGTTAACTATGTTGTTGAATCTCACTATTTGCACATGCTTAAACGATAGCGGGCAAAATAGTCCCTGATAATGAACGCAGAAATTGCAAAATTGATTGACATATAACATGAGCTTATTTATTGTGGTCTGCTAAAATTTCTTTGTACAATCTAGCAAATTTTCACCAGAATAACAAAGGCACTGGGGAATGTATCATCTTCCTTCATAGCACTGAATTCTACAGAAAGTAGTGGAAGCATAAAAATACAAGCTATTGAATCTAGCGAACCAGGATATTATCAGCGTCAGTTCATCAGACAGGCATTTCTTTTTCTGTAAGGTAATTTCAAAATATTACATTTTGACGTATACTGGAAAGTTAACTACGCCCTTAATTCGTTGTAGGACGATCTTCTCAAGCTGCTGCTTTTATTTATCATATATTCACTGACTACTGAGTCATAGAGCCGTGCACGTCATCATAAGCACCATTTCTCCCCTTTTTTAATATGTCTCCGATATTTTACAGCAATTCTGTGCATCTAATTCATTCTCGCTTGGATGCCATGCTTTTGCTATCTCCTTTTTTGAGTGTCGCATTCTGCTATGTCCACAATTTGCACGTGAAAAATAACAAGACGTGAAAATCAACGACCAACGCAAGAGAGCCATGCGTACTGAAGTGTCGTTACACCCTTACAATGAAAAGTGTATTGGACTTCTCAAAAACAGAATTAAAATATAATGCACATGGGTTCCGACAAAAGTGCTGCCATACCTTCGTTTCAGACATTCTAGGCGAAATCTCAGAGACGTCTTTATATAGCGTCCTTGTTAAAAGTAGAACATGAGAGCCCCCGTGTGCATCGCCTTCTCTATTGCTAGCCGTGCTTAAATTCTCGGTGTACAACTTAACCATGCTGCAATAGTCTATACGAGTACCATTGGTCGATTCAATCTATCCCTAAATATCTACTGCAAGCACAGTTGTCAAGCGCCCACTTCGCCATAACTCTCCTTTTTGTGAATCAGTGAAGGGCCAACTACGTGTTCATCAGGCAGCATGTGAACATGCGCAGGGGGTTATTTTGTTGATGCATTTGCTCTTGATGACGATTAAATATGTCTGAACACTTTTTAATTTGGGTTGACTTGCTTTATTTCACGTAATAATTGCAGTATTGACACGTTTCAACGCTTGTTGCAATTCCCCGCTTCTGCCGCACAATCTTACTACATGCGTTAAAGACACTCATTCCCCTAAGTTACATTCGCATGTTATCTTTTGCCGGAGCAGTTAAAACAATGGCACGGATCTTTAGTAGAAATCTTGATCGCCATGCAGACGGCCTGCATTGGAATCTCTCTCGAAACTAATTCTTTTATTATTTGTTACATTTGCGAAATTGTCAACTTTTTTTCTAACACCGCTGAGTTTTCGCTCACAATCAACGACACCAACACTGAGGTCGAGAATGGGCTTGTTCACGCTATTGCTTATTACATACTAATTCATCTGGAACCTCTCAGTACACTTAGTTTGGTGACCAACCATTTGCGGCGTCTTAGAGCAAGCTCCAGAAGCGGGTTCGATTTGCGGGGACTGCGTTTGATGGTGATTAAGTGAAAACATCCGAGTGCATATATACTATAAGTGCGTGTGTAGGTCATTAGATTTGCAGATGGTCCTTAATTATTGCAGTTCTGTTCTCCCCCCCCCCCCCCTCTTCAATGTGGCTCATAATGATGTCGTGGTTTTGGTACATCAGAACCCCAAGTTGAATTTCCTCTTGAGCTTCTAGGAAGTAATTATACTTACGAGGTGTTCATGGATGATGTATGCCCGAGATTGATATATTAATAATGCCAAGTTATATATTTTAGTTACCATATTCTGTGTTGTCAACAGCACGGGCAGCGATAGGTTCTCTCAGTATACTTTCATTTCTTTGTTTATTCATTTCTCGCTTTTTGGCATTGTCTCCAGCATCATTTTTGAATTCCTTCAGCTATACGTTACTAGCACACGGCAGCCAGCCCATTTAGGAACTGACTAACTTACCTGCCTCTCCGACTGTTCCTTTGTTCCTTTCTCGGTAATTGCTTTCCCGCTTCACTAAGGACGACTTGTTACGCCACGTGGTTATGTTGCAGATCACCATGCTGTGCAGCAGGACCATTCTTGTGGCCCTTGTGGTCCTCGCTCTTGCCTTCACCTTGGCGTCGGCCCAGTTCGGGCGCGGAGGCTTTGGCCGTGGAGGATTTGGTGGCGGCTTCGGTCGGGGCGGCTTCGGAGGCAGCCGTGGATTCGGTGGTGGATTCGGTGGTGGCCGTGGATTTGGAGGTGGCTTCGGACGAGGAGGTTTTGGCGGCTTCCGTGGTTAGAGCGCGCTGTGATGTAGAGAACTGAAGGACCTTATCCTTCTGACGGGATGCCCAGTTCATCAGCTGAATGGAGATAGAAAGTCACCATCTGGAAAAAATTGAAGAGTGGCTGCATCATTTTCTTTTGTTCTGTCCATGGACAGGCGAGAACTCATTAGTTCGTATGCACATTTCTGGTGAAATCGTGCATAACGCCAAATTTATGCTGATAATGAACGTGCTCCTTGTTTTATTTTGGCTAAAAGTGTAAATAAAAAGTGTTAAAGCCAAGTACGTCGTGAAAGTATTCTTTTTGCACGCGCATTGCCGTGTTTGTGTTTTACACAACTCTGGAACTTTCAAACAGGCATTATAATTTTACAATTTGCATGAATATAAACCAAGGTAACTTAGCGTTTGGAAGTGGTTTGTTGTCGCTAGACCTATTGCGTTATTTTTGTTTATTTTTATATACGAAAGTACTGCAGGCTGCATGGCCGAAGCAGAAGTAAGAATACAGAAAGCATCATAAACAATGCACTACAAGGATGCATAACAAGCTAATTTGAAAACAGAATTCAAAAGAAGAATTGAAGACACTGTGGACGGTGAAAAGGCAACAGATTGAAATAAGTCGATACAGAAAGAGTGAATCAAAGGATCAAGTTATTGAAATATAACCAATTCTTATCTACCCAAACAACAGGTATATACGCGGCACCTTTTTTCAAGGGACTTAGCGCAAGCCGTGACAACGAGACTTACTAGCTTCACTATTTACACGGACAAAGAGTTTAGTTGAATGGTTAGTTGTTTATACAAAAAAAAAACAGAAGGTCTGGTAGAAGGAAGCCAGAAACACAAATGCAGAGCATCAAAGTACTCGGCTAATCATTGTAGTTTTTGCAAGGGCTGACTCGCAATCGGATGAAAATTGATGCATAAGAATATTTTGCCATGACCTTTACTGGTCATTTCTCCTATGATTACCTCATTTTATCCTTGTATTTATTGCTGCATTCATGGCGATAGTATTGCCTTTACGCAGGCTTAGTACTTCTATTCTACTAGCGGAAGTTTATAGCTGACTCATTATTTGTAGGCTCTTTCCACATCCAGTGACAGTCCTATTCTGAAGCGTTTCCAATTACTAGTTCTATCTCATTTAGGTATATTATTTCATATAGGTACGCGGCCACAAAGGCCTATTTTGCAACAAAGTGGCTGATTCTGTGTAAGAAATGACATATCACGGGGGCATGATTTCGCACACATATAATCGGGCAAAGTTTGTCAGACCCGGCACTGATTACTTCTGCGGATTATTAACACCTTTGATTTCATGATGCCATAGTCTGGCTAGTTCGATGTTGATGAAAGTTCCATCATGAAATTTCGTTGCCCCGTTACCTCCCTGAAGTTGTCTTTACATAGATCAGTTTACTGAATTACCACTTGTGTTTTTCCTGTGATCAGAACGAAACGATTGGGCACAAAACACTTTTGTACATATTATCCCAGATGAATGCATTGCGAAAGAGCATACTAGAGCAACATCTTTGAAAACTGGGGCTGTAACTATCAGAACAGCTTCTCTAATTTGGGGCCACGGCTCTGTGGTACAGCCATAGGGATGTTCTCTTTTCCATTGAGGACTGTATCACTCCGACGTAAAGAATCTCCTGCTAAATTCAGTGCGCATAACATCAATAGGTAGTTCAAATCAGCAACTAGCTACAATACTTTACTAGTGAACCTAAGCATACTATAACACTGTAATCATGGGAAGAATTCACCTTCCTATGGGCCAATACCCCCAATTAGTGTGGAATATTTCTGGAGGAAAAGAAGAAGAATGAGAAGAGCATCAACTAGCAGCTGATTGCTGGAACATTGCAGGAGTTCGTCAATGGTTCAAAAAGGTTTCAGCTTTGAGAGTAATCATCGCTAGATTTTTTTTTTACTTTTTAAAATTAGTTTATTATGTTAACCGCGCCGCTAGTACTTTAATACGATTTATTATTCTAATATCAAATTTGTCCTGTTTCACTTTTTTCTTCTGGTAAATAGACCAATCCTAACGTTTCATCAAAAAAGTCTTTCGTAAAAACCATCCGAATTACAGTTAACTTGTTAGCTCATGTCTTTTAAACTAATTAGAGATGTTAAGGAAAAAAAATATATATGAGCTGCTGAGACCGGTCAGCGCGTGCACCACCGACCTTCAACGAGCCCGGGCTTGCAGACACCCGTCAGCCCCACGGTGGCGCATGGATGAAGATGTTGTAGGGCATTCCAGGCGCGTCTGCCTTCCTCGCTTTTCCTATGTGAACGACACTCAAGCACCTCGCATTAATCGCATAGTGGTGGTCGGCACCAGTGGCGACGGCGGTGTTGACAGACGCGGTGAGTGGCGGTAGTGCCAGCGCGACAATATTCGTCGTTAAGAGACTGACACCGTCGACCACATTTGTCCTACAGACGATTTCTGATTTGTGACTGGAGAAGCACGTAGAACATGGTCATATTAGAAGGTGCCTATTAGATTGTAGGAGGGAAATAGTCAATCCTAGTTATTCATAATCCTATGTGAGCGCAATTTGTATTCTAGAGTGAAATGAAGTGTGTGTTTAGGTTATACCGTTTCACCTTCATGTCAATTCAGCTTACTCAGGAAGAACTTCATGGGCCCAATTAACATCGTGACACCCATGTCTGCATTGAGCTCGGCTTGATATGTGTCATAGTTTAGAACTTCAAAATGATAAATCAATTTTTAGTCCCTTAGCAGAAGCATGGAGAGGGTTAGCATTGTTTGAAAACCTCTTATGTATTTTCACGTCCGCTTTACTTTCGCTTCCAGAAGTGTGACCTCCACGTATACGCGGTGGTGAGCTCATCGCCGGTGATGGTGACGCAGCCGGTGATCAACATATTGAGGTGATCAGATTTGCACCGGCACTTATGGATTAACGGAGTAATAATGTGAGGAGTGTAAGTTTGTGTGTACGTGCTCTCCACTCTCTCTCTATGTTTCTCCGTCCTAAACTCTCTCATCCCGTTCACCACTGGAGGGTGTCATACTGGATCTTTCTTCTAGGCTGGTTAACATCCCTGTCCTTCCTTCCTTCCTTCCTTCCTTCCTTCCTTCCTTCCTTCCTTCCTTCCTTCCTTCCTCCTTCCTTCCTTCCTTCCTTCCTTCCTTCCTTCCTTTCTTCTTCCATCCTTCCTTCCTTCCTCCTTCCTTTCTTTCTTTCTTCCTTCCTTCTTCCTTCCTTTTTCTTCTTTCCTGCCTTCTGTCCTTCCGCCCTTCCTCCATCCTTTCTTCCTTCCGTCCTTGCTTCCTTCCTTCTTTCCTTCCTTCCTTTTTTTCTTCTTCCTTCCTTCTGTCCTTCCTTGCTTCTTCCTTCCTTCTTCCTTCCTTTCTTCCTTCCTTTCTCCCTACTTTCCTTGCTTCCTTGTTTCTTTCCTTCCTTTCTTCCTTCCTTCATTTCTTCCTTCCTTTTTCTTCCTTCCTTCCTTCCTTTCTTCTTTCCTTCCTTCCGTCCTTCCTTCTATCCTTCTTTCCTTCCTTCCTTGCTTCCTTCCTTACTTCCGTCCTTGCTTCCTTGCTTCCTTCCTTCCTTTCTTTCTTTCTTCCTTTCTTCTTTCTTTCCTTTCTTCCTTCCTTTCATCCTTCCTTGCTTCTTTCCTTCCTTCCTTCCTTTCTTCTTTCCTTCATTCCCTCCTTCCTTTCTTTTCTTCTTCCTTCCTTCCTTCCTTCCTTCTGCACTACTCCAGGAGAGCTGAATTCAGAACGCTGATATTTAGCGCAAGCTACGTTACAGTGCAACAAATCCTACAATCCAACTCCAGGTATGGCATTACCTAAACACAGAAACACGTACGCGCATGCCAGTGCCGTCATAGGCAAGCAGGCATGCCAGCACGCAAACACACACCAACACACATACACACACAGAGAGACACTCTCTCTGCAGTTAGGTCCTCTTGGCGTATAAAAACTGGATCAACAAGCCCTTAAATCTGAACAATGTTCCCATGACGGAATTGCAACTTGCTTTGCCGCGGTTGTCTAGTGGTTATGTACTTCGGCTGCTACCTGCAGGTCGCGGGATTGGATCCCAGCTGTGGCGGCTGCATTTTCTATGAGGACGAAAATGCTGCAGGCCTGTGTGCTCAGATTTGGGTGAACGTTAAAGAACCCCAGGTGGTCGACATTTCCGAAACCCTCCACTACTGTGTCTCTCATAATAATATGGTCGTTTTGAGACGTTAAACGCCACATATATATCAATCAATCAGCAATTGCCACTTTGCTCCTACAGTACCTAGTCTCTATCATTTCACCACTACGTCATAGAGGGTCTTATTGGGCTGGTGAAATTGAATACCTTTGAGAATGTCCTACACGCTAATTCGCGCGTTCTAACTCTTGGCATTTCTACAACGCCAGGGAGTGCTATCGAGCTGTCATAGTGCTACTACTGTGTGGAATGGCAAAACATTTTAGTTTCTTCTGGTTCGTCTTGCTGTGTTATTTTAGAGTTCTTATGAGCAGCTCCCTACATTTTTCAAGCTGCGTTATGACGTTTCCTAGACATCTATGGATTATTGATATTTACTCAAGTAGTAAGTATTCTTTTGAACTGTATGTCCAACGAAATACTTTTTGCTGTTTCTACCTAATCTAAAGAAATAAGTTCTTTTGCTGGCACTAGCGCGAGTGGCAGTATTGAGGGCCTTTGTTAAGAACAGGGCAGTAAAGCAGCGCACTATGTATCTAATGATAAGTAATGATATAACAGGAGCCACGCTTACTTTCACATTGGAGGCCAGTTTAAACATGAGGTGTCGCAAAAAAAGCGTTATTGAATATACATGCATGGTCCAGCTAAGCTAATCTGTGTAAAACTCCTGGTACAGGTTACAAAGCCGTCACAGCGAGATATAGTTTACACTATCGCGGTACGAAGCAATGGCAGTTCGTTTGAATTTGGCCTCGCTTACATACGAGGCTTTGCCCTACTTCGTCTTTCAGCCACGAATCAAAATGGCACGTGAAGACGAGGCACTTAACTCAGTTATGAGGCTCTGTTTCGCTGACTGTGAAAAGAGAACCCATGAATTCAAACGGAAACCGAACACACCTTTCAAGCATGGTCCATAGATGAAATCTGGCCTCTAAGCGACGAGAACAGCGAACCTCCCAGAGTAGGGAAACAGCCTGAAATGTGTACAACTATCTGTGTAGGCGGTTGTTATATGGCATTCCGGTGAGAACGCGTGTGTAGC